TTGAATGATTATCGGTCACTTGTCAGGTGATCGCCGCAGCATCAAAATTAAATAATCGCCCAGGTTGACAATGTCTGTTCTAGACTGACAAACATTCTGATGAAGTGGTATGACTATTGTGGTTACAACATTCAAACGGGATTGGAAAATGTGTGTATGTATGTATGTGGGGGGGGGGGGGAGAATTCAACAGGCACAAAAGTTACCTGGTAAAACAAAAGCAACAACAAATTAGGACATTAAATATGGAGTGAGTTTTGCACTAACATTTAAATGTTTTTTAATTGTTATTTAATTGTTATTGCAGATATTTTCATCGATACTATGAATTTTTTAAAAGAAATCCTGCCGGAGGTGGGGACCAACACAGGCTGAAAGGGATGCAATGTCCACGCAGACAGACAGAGCTACTCGGCAAGAAAATGTTCTAACAACCGAATCGAGCTAACGTTTTAGGGGTGCCAAGGCAAAATGAGATACTCGACAAAATGTCCTGCCTACCCAGGAACCGAACTGAAGTTTTCTGCGTATGAAGGCGAAGCGTGTAACCACTACTCAACTGAGGCCCGTAAGCTTTACTCTCATCTTCTGCGGACTAACGTGTCTAATTGTGTCCCATACAAGACTGGTGGGAATATATACAAAGATGATTACTTTTAGATAACGCATCTGTAAAAAAACAAATGCCAGGACACGGTGCAATGAAGCGCTCATGAAATTTTTGGCTTATAGAGTTTTTGATATCATCTTAAAAGTTGTTGATATGCCTTGCACTTGGCGAAAAAAATGTCTTTCTGTCTTGAATAGAAGTCGAGATATTTGTGATTGAAGGAGGTGAGGGTCCCCTCGTGTGAGAGGTAAAGTTAGCGAGAAAACGAATGTTAAAGTTTTTGTGATTTCAAAAGCTGGAGAGCCGTTGGAAAGTGGAAATTTACAATTTTGTGCCATACGTCAACGTGTTATGCTACATCTGCACATAAATGTTTTTAAAAGGACATAAAAGGAGGTTAGCCAAAAAAAATAAATTAAAAAAATCGAAAATAAATTGCCTTGACCCTCAAAAATGTCGGTTTCTTTGATTTCATTATTTTGACAAACAACTGATTTCACCACGATGCCTCACAAATGAACTTGTGAACCTTTTACACCATAATCTACACAATATCGATATTTCGGAGGCGGCCTTTCCGAGCAATTCTGTTTGGGGCCAACCCACTCTGAAAGTTATACAACCTCCAAACTCCCAGAGTCCAGGCTACAAGACTCAATTAAATAAAATATACCCTCGGACACATCTGTTCGGCGTATGACGGTGACGCTCGCAAACGCTTTACCACAGACGCCAGTGCTTTATCTATATAGAAAAAAACGTTAAGCGTGATTTAAATTTAATGTGAGGCGTGTTGACAAAATTAGTTACTTCTTGCAATCCACAGATGGAGATATTGGCAAAAAATGGACACTAAGGTCAAATATGTAGATGTTCTATTGATGCCATATTCTTTAAGTATAATAAGCCTTCTATTATTTCATACTTAATAGTAGTAAAAACTTAACCTATAAGCGACCATAGTTCTTGAATCCCAGAAATAACTCAGTTTGTCAGCACTCTCCACAAATATAGGATCTCGCTTTTTCATCTTTGTTCTCCAAGGAAGTAAAAGAAGGATAAAAGCAAAGATAAGCTGAATTGTCATGCTGTTTGGGGGCTCTTGTCGTCTAGGTTTACAGTGTCTACCTTTCATTCAATACGTCCCTGTCTCGAAACCTGAGAGAGTCGGAAAATTTTCTCCAGCAAAATTATCTTTTTTCTCCTCCTTTTCAGCTTTGTAACCATGTTCTGTCGTCTGCTTTCGTCTCCACTTTCTGCCCCCTCACCCCTTTGCCCTCTCCTCTAGGCTTCTGAATCTTTCTGCAGCCTTTCTACTTCTGCTCTTTGGCTCTTTCTTATTACGGTCTTTCATCCACACCCATGATATTTGGGTAGATAACTTCTAATACCTAGCCTTTTCGGATAGCTGTGAAACATTCTCGGAGGTCATGTGTGCAAGTTACCCACGTTAAAGATTCCTTGGTGGTTCAAAAGTGATAAGAGAAAGCTTCGGCGCCACCACGGTAAAATTCAAAATTAATTCCTACCTAACTGAAAATGTTTAATGTTTCCTGTGCGCTCATATGATTATGACCCTATGCAGTTTGGAGCGCCGTAAAATACTTCCCAAAACAAACATACATCATGCAGTTGATTTATTAGCACCGGAAATTCATTACATTTTTATATTAGCAACTGAGCTGAGCGACCTAATTCCATTTTCCTTAACACAAAGTCCATGAGCAACCTAGAGCAAACATTACCAAATAATTAGACTACGTAATTACTATACTCATACTCTTGGAGCTGGGGCGGTAATCAGATAATTTTCTCCTCAAAACAGTCTAGACGTCACCACGTGAGACCAGAGCAAACTGTTTAACCGTCTGTTGGACCGTGGTTCGTGAGCGTGCGTTAAGGTGTGGTGTTGATTAAAATATGTTAACCATTTATGTTGAAGGTGCACGCTGTTAATCACATATTATTGTTAAAAATATTTTACAGAGTTCAGGTTAACATCGAAGAAAAGCTTCTGTAGCTGGATTCATTTTCGCTGTATGCTCGTGAGGTTGGTTGTTTTTTTTTTTCTTGTGTGTGTGTGTGTGTGTGTGTGTGTGTTTGTGTGTGTGTGTGTGTGTGTGTGTGTGTATGTGTGTGTGTTTTCGGACGGGGCGGGGGAGGAGGGGAGGTGAGAGGGGCATTCTAATCAGGTGACCTAACCACTTCATTCTTTGTTTTTCAGTATTGCCCCTCTATGTTAGTGTTGAATTAATGATTTTTTAGAGAATAATTAAATGAAATCGAAATCTTTGTCTAGAAGGGTTGTTATCCCAGATTCACCAAGTTTTGCAGAAAGTATACGGACTTTGGAGATGATAAGATTTTGATATACATGTACATAATATGAATATTATTTTTTATACTTGCACATACATAGTTTTAATTTCTATTTATACACCTGTCAAGTAAATTAAAATTGTTATATCTCTTAGAAATAAACGCCCATTAAGCATTTTTTTAAAAGGAAATCCTCAGCGCAATTATTATTACTA